GGGGGGGGGGGGGGGGGTGGGGAAGAAAAGGACTACAAATTTAACCAGTCTATTGGATGGGAGCTAAAGACTGAAAGGTACAAGCTTTATATCTCATGCTGAATTGATGGGAAGGAACTACAAGTTGAATTTTTTACTGGTGGGACGGAACTACAAGTTGAATTTTACTTTTAGAGGACAAAATTTTTTGGAATTTGATAGATCTTCACAGTTTCAATTATGTTAATTCGGTTTGCATGTCCCATCCAGATTAGAGAAGGGAGGCTCCAAGGCATAGGCAAATGCCTTGTCCGAGAATACAGAATGGTTTGTACTGTCATGCGGGGAGAAATAAGCAAGGATTTTTTTGAGGTGAACCAACTCAACTGAACTTGTACTCTATATAATCAGTCACCTGTAGATGTCTGAAGTCATCTTCAAATGCAGGGATGCAGAGCCATACTGTTGGAAAAGGATAAGAATCCAAAGGTTCATGTACATTCCACTAATTGTATATAGAATTGCGCGCACACGCTCTCCTGTGTTCTTCTAAGAGACTTTCCTTCCCCTGTTTCTTCTTTTGCAGTGGGAACCCTCTAGGCTGGAGCAAGTCACTGAGGATATGGTTGACCTTTACTTCTCAAAGATAAATGAGGAGGGCTGGGAAGATTTAGATCTCCCGAGAAGGTCGAACATCCCTCCACATGCTATTGCTAAACTCTAAATTTTATCTTAATAGCTTTTGTGTCTCAAGTCTTGACACGACACAGTCACAAAAATTAGGCCAGAACTTGGTCTGGAAGCCTATATATAGGACTCAGACATTAATTTTTGAGTTGTAATACTATATTGTGATGAACGATACTTGAACAAATCTTTGTTGATTCGACTTTCTAGAGAAATAAATATATGACTATGCAGTAGTTACAGAAATTATAAGTGGTTCAGCACATAAGGTACCATGAAGAAGAGTTCTTCCATATGCTTGTGACACTAGTTGCAGTCTTTTAGAGTTCTATTTTCAGTAGAAGATTGATTCAGTGAGTTATCCAACTCATAGAAATCATTTTTGAAGGCACTGATTGTAACAATTACTTCGTGAAATGTCTACACTAGTTTATAAAAACATTTTATGCATTTGTACCAATGTTTAAAAGGCGTAATTGGGTACTGAGATGTTATTAGAATAATGCCATGTATTCTCACTGGGGTTGTATTACCAATTTAGATGGCACTAGATGATAGGGTAAATAAAAGTTGAAATTAAATGAATTATTTAATTTCACTTATCATTTAATGTTACAACAATGCTACTTAGAGTGAGATTGTAACCCTAGTGACGCTAAATAGTAAGGCTGGATAAAACTCTCGAACCGAATCGATCTAATCGAACACGAATCGAATTGAGTGGTTCTTTTTAAGTTAAATATTTGAAAGGGTATCTTAGGGATGGCAATTCGAACCGTTAAAACTGAGAATCGCAGTTAACCGAACCGAATGGGGCGAAAAAAATCGAACC